GACCCCACGTCATACAGGAGTCACTGCCTGTGTCATACAGGAGCCGCGACCCCACATCATACAGGAGTCACCGCCTGTGTCATACAGGAGCCGCGACCCCACGTCATACAGGAGTCACCGCCTGTGTCATACAGGAGCCACAATCCCACGTCATATAGGAGTCACCGCCTGTGTCATACAGGAGCCGCGACCCCATGTCATACAGGAGTCACCGCCTGTGTCATACAGGAGCCGCGACCCCATGTCATACAGGAGTCACTGCCTGTGTCATACAGGAGCCGCGACCCCATGTCATACAGGAGTCACTGCCCCGGTCATACAGGAGACACTGCCCTGGTCATGCAGGATACTGCCTGCGTCATATAGGAGACACCCATATAGTGTCGAGGGCATACAGGAGTCCCTGCCCAGGTCATACAGGAGACACTGCCCAGGTCTTGCAGGAGCTACCACCCAAGAGTCACTGTCCAGATCACATATGAGCCACTGTCCAACTAACTTACGCTCTTCAACATGGCTTCTTTATTCCACAGTAATTCCTTATTAGTCAAAACAGAAAACTATTCACTCAGCATGTAATGCCCTGGATAAAAAATGAAGAAGGTTTTGTTTTGTTTTGTTTTTTTGTAACAGAGATGTGGCATTTTTTCTTTAGGCAAGGACATCTGCAGTTCTGCAAAGAAAGACCTTGAAAAGCCTACACCAGGCAGCAAGGCATCCGGCTGCTTCTTGCTCGGTGCTTTAACTGGAGGGAAAGGGATCCTGTGCTGCTCACTCCTGCCGTCCACAGGCAATTCCTGGCCACTGGTGAGGGCATGGGCTCCAGGGACAAGCAGAGGAGAGAAACAGCAAGTGCAGGCCACCCTTTATGAAGTGTTACAGAAAGAGGAGAAAAGAGCAGTGGCTGGACAGAGGAGGGGGAACAAGAAAGAATTCTTAAAGATGAGGACAATAATGGCATGGTTGCCAGTGGGAGAGGAAAGGCTGACGGAGAACAGCATGTGGGCGCTGCATGGGGAGAGTGCGGATGTGCTGCTGAGGTGTCCTGGGATGGGGGTGAGGCAGGGCACAGGCTGGGGAGCCGCCAAGCAGCACTGCAGCTGGGGCCTGGCCCAGGCTCCATGTACCAGCATCACTATCACTATAACCTAGCCCAGGGCTCTCTACACGCCAGCATCACTGCAGCTGTGACCTGGCCCAGGGCTCTCTACACACCCAGCATCACTGCAGCTGTGACCTGGCCCAGGGCTCTCTACATACCCAGCATCACTGCAGCTGTGACCTGGCCCAGGGCTCTCTACACACCCAGCATCACTGCAGCTGTGACCTGGCCCAGGGCTCTCTACACACCAGCATCACTGCAGCTGTGACCTGACCCAGAACTCTCTACACACCCAGCATAACTGCAGCTGTGGCCTGGCCCAGGGCTCTCTACACACCCAGCATCACTGCAGCTGTGACCTGGCCCAGGGTTCTCTACACACCAGCATCACTGCAGCTGTGACCTGGCCCAGGGCTCTCTACACAGCAGCATCACTGCTGCTGTGACCTGGCCCAGGGCTCTCTACACACCCAGCATCACTGCAGCTGTGACCTGGCCTAGGGCTCTCTACACACCAGCATCACTACCGCTGTGACCTGGCCCAGGGCTCTCTACATACCCAGCATCACTGCAGCTGAGACCTGCCCCAGGGCTCTCTACATACCCAGCATCACTGCAGCTGTGACCTGGCCCAGGGCTCTCTACACAGCAGCATCACTGCAGTTGTGACCTGGCCCAGGGCTCTCTAACAGCCAGCCTCAACGCAGCTGTGATCTTGCTCATTTCTCCCTTTCGTTGACACCTTCCTTTAAGTGCCCTGGCCAGGACCGCTCAGCGCGCACCCTTGCTGCCTTGCTCAGTGCTGAAAGAATGAAAGGACCCCTGTCTGCTCCCTGCATCAAGCGAGTCTTCCCTCCCTAGATCTTCCTGCCAGCAAGAACTCTTGGCGTCCAGGCCAGTGGGTGCCCCAGCCATTCCTGGCACTTGCTTTTCTGACTTTGACCCTGTTCAAGGGTCTTTGACAGTGTGGAATCAGCTAACTTGAAATCTCATGATGTCACTTTCATCTGCTACTGCTTTGTGGGGCTCAATCCTCGCCCACTTCCCTACCCCTCATCTGGTCTCTGGCCCCCACCCTCCCTCCCCTAAGTCTGCTGCCACCATGTTGCCAGAATTAATCCCTAAAAAGAGGAAAATGAAATCATTATTTTCTACTTTCATGAAATTGCCATTGGGTCGTTGTACGCCAGATCTTCAGGGGACAATACAGGGCCACTGACAAACCAGTTCCAACGTCCTTGGTATGCTCCAAATGTGTCTCCCCAAAATTCACAGGCTGAAGTCCTCACCTTCAAGGTGTTGGTATTAGGAGAGGAGGCCTTTGAGGGTGATTAGGTCATGACGGTGGAGTCCTCATGAATGGGATGAGTGGCCTCAAAAGCGGCCTGGAAGAGAGCCCTCACACCTGCCAGCACATGAGGACACAGAGAAGGCACCATCTATGTGCAGCAGGCACAGGGCCCTCTCCAGACACCAAATCTGCAGGTGCCTTGATCTAGGAACCCAGGTCCGGAACTGTGAGAAATGAACTTGTGGTTTATGAACTACCTCTTCTGTGGCATTTTGTTACAGGATAAAAAAGGGAAGAAGACAGTCCCCTCCATCGCTATCTGCCAGGATGGCTCCACTTCCCCAGAAAAGCGAGACGTTGTCTGGAGATCTTCCCCTTCCGGTGCTATTCTCACACTCTGGAATTCCCGTTCCTCCCAGCCCTCATCTGGCAAACATAATTTCCTTCTTCAAGAAGCATTAAATGTGACCACCTCTGTGACGTCTTCTCTAGCCCTCCAAAAGAAGGGTTCACTCCTGCACCTGTGAGGTAGGGAGACCCGTCTGTGTGACAGGCGGAAGGGGAGTTGTGTGATTTATGAAAGCCCTTTTGCTCATATGAGAGCCCTTTTGCTAGAATTGCATGCCTCGAGGTAGGCCTGGCTCCATCTTGGGATTTCATGGTACAGGACGGCACTGGGCACGCTGTGGGCTTTGAGTGAAAAAGCTTGTTAGTGATCCCACTTAAGGCAAGGGAGCAGTGCTGTTACTGACTCGAAAACGGACTTTCTCATGCTTGGATCATAAATTATAGGAGCAAATCATCATGAACATATGATCTCTTTGAATATTCAGGCCGAATTCTGGCTAAATCGGTTCTGGCTAATATCACATTTTCAAAAATCCTAGAAATGCCGACAAGAAACCCGTATGAGGGCTTCATTATGTCGACCTCCGATCGCTCTTAATAACAATTGTGTCTCCAAAGGGAAACTTACAGGACATGAAAATTTCACCCCAAATACTTGGAAAAGAAACGCAACCATTGGACCAAAAATGGAAGCTTGCTCCAAACTCCTATTTTTAGTTTACACAATGATGCAAGATGCATTTTTTTTTTTTTTACTTTGGTGCAAGGCAAAGTGTGAACTTTGTCAAGGGAAGGTTATTTTAAGGGAAAATAAAACAGAGCTCCAGCTGAAAATCGTCACAGGGCTTCACATATCACTTGGCCCATAAATTATATATTGCATTTGTCAACCTGCCAGGCTGTTTCTTGATTTCAGAGGTGGTTTGGTGTTGGCTAATACTGACTGCCTCACTCTGACTGCATTTTCTTTATAGGAGGACTTCTATTTTCGACTCTCATCCTGTACAGAGAAGCCTGGTAATTTTCAGTGAAGTGCTTGGATTAAGGGCTTTATTGAAAATTACTAGGCCTCAACCAAACACAATAAGGCAGACAATTCAGAGCATCTTCAGAAAAGAACACTGGTCTGCCATGATAAAAACGAACAGAAGCCTTTTGGGGGATGCTCAGGCAGGCGGTAAGAATGGAACGGAAAAGGAGCAAGGAGTCATTATTAGCCTGGGGAGGAAGAAACGTAAAAGAATGAAAATAGAAACGGATGGAAATGACATTTTGCAGAGAGAAAGAAAAAGATTAAGAAACCAAGAGCTAGGCTGAAAGACATTCGAAACTTTAAAAATGGTGGAAAAGCAAGAATAGAAGAATGATTCCGTGGGGAAGAAATACAGAAAGATAACAGAACATCATTCAAAAGCCAGAGTGTCCAATATAAAACGGCAGCAAATCCATTCTGCTTTGCTAGTTTCCAAGCACAAAGGCAGGGAAACTTTAGTGTCACCCAATTCCTGTCTCTCCTTGGCCCCTGGTGTGCATAGAGAGATGCCATCACAGGGGGCCTGGGATGGGACTGCTGCTCCTTTAACAGCCTGTTCAGCCTTGTCTGGAGACAAACTTGTCTTGGACTCTGTAAGCCCCTATTTCTCCTAGGATGCTGTGGACATTTAAAACAGTGAATTAGCTCCAGGATATCTATCCTTGCCACAGCATAAGTACGTAATGAAGATTTCCTTAATTGCATATGGAAACGGGTCATGGGGAGACAGGCTGGGTCAGTGGAGCTGTAGCTGAGTCATGGCTTTGCCAGACTGATGTCCCACTCGGCTTCCATCTTCAAATCTTGCGAGCTCCAGTAACCACTGGTCTCCAAGCTTAACTGAGGTCTTAAGTCTCTTTACCCCAATACATTCTTAAAATTGGAGTTGCATCTCTTTCCCTGAAGTGAAATAAATGTAAGATCAAACCAAGGAAGTTCTTGTGATGTAAACACTCCACAGGCTGCAGGCACACGCTCAGGACGTGAGCCTGATGGACAAGGCACCATCAGTCAGGTCGGTAAGTTCTGTGGATGCTGACGCCCCAGAATGCTTGTCTGTCTTTTTGCTCACTTAATAAACTGCTGTAATCATTCGGATGGAAGATTGTTATTTTTAACACACAGGATTCTAGACAGGAAAATTCAGCCCTACTCTTGCAACAATTTGTCTCTGTCTGATCCATAACCTTTAAAGTGGTGCTAAAGTCAAGTTAGTGTCAACCTTGGGAAAGGAGCAGGCTGATAAAACCCGACTGCCATGCGGTACGTGGCAGAGTGGGGTGGGATCTGCCTCAGGCCCGGCGCTGGGGGCGGGGGAGGAGGGAGGCATGTCCTTTCGCTCTCCCAGGGGCTCAGTCTGGGTCAGGAGGCAAGATCCGTAACAAACAAAATGTGCCCCAAACAAGGAACGTTGTGGAAAGTCTGGGTGATGGCCACCTTCTTGATTGCATGCTGCTTTCAAGCACTGGCCAGAATGTGCTTAGCTCACTAACAAACGACCACCTTGAACGCCCTGAGCCTGTGTAGGTTGTGGGCAGGGTGTGTATGGGAACTCACTGTACTCACTGTTCAATTTTGCTGTGTGCCTAAAACCACTC